CCGGAGCCCGGAGCGGGAGCGCGCGCCGGAGGGGGCTGTGTGGGTGTGTACATGAAAGGTTGCTGCTACGCGAGCGCGCGTGGGTGGGTGTGCGTGCGCGAGAGGGGGCTGCTGGGTGCACGAGCATGGGAGAGTGCTGTGTGTGTGCACGTGAGAGGGGTACTGCGTGCACGAGCATGGGAGGGGCTGCTGTGTGTGTGTGTGTGTGTGTGAGTGTGAGTGTGTGCGCCGAGGGAGGGGACTGCTGGGTGGAGAGCGCTGTGTGGGTGAGCGAGTGGGAGAGGTTGCTGTGCGCACGTGCGTGGGAGAGGGCTGCAGTGTGCTCGCGTGGGAGGGTCAGTTGGGTACATTGCATGGGAGGGGGCTGCTGCGTGCACGTGCGTGGGAGGGCCTCTGGGTCATGTGTGGGAAGGGGCAGCATGGGGGCACTGGGAGGTGGGGGGGGGGGCTTCCCAGGATGCTCTGTCTCTGTCCCCCTAGCAGAACTAGAGGCTCCTGGGGAGGGCTGAGAAGAGATGGTGGGGGACATGGCTGTGACCCCATGGGCCTCCCCTGTGTCCTCTTCCTTCTCGTGGGCTTGTGCAGCTGCCTCCCCCCCATGTTGAGAGAGGAACCCGGGTGCTGACAGCACCCAAGTCCCCTTCCAGAGGTGGACCCTCCCTCCCTGCTACCTGTGTGACCCTGGATCCACAGGGGCTGGGGCGCTGAGAGGGGCAGTCCTGCAGGCAAGCCCTTACCAGGCCTGAGCAGCCAGAGTTTCTGGGGACCAAGGCCAAAGGACCCCACCTAGCAAGGAGCCTCTGCCCTGCTGGACATGAGTGTGATGCCCAGGTGGGTGTAGGGGGCCTTAGTGGTGGCGGGCTCTGGAGGACAGAGGGCAGGGGCAGGGCACCCTGACAGCCGGTCCCTCTTCCCTGGCCTGCATCTCACTGCTGTGAGTCCCTGTCCTTGCTCGGCTGACTCCAGGCCTCCGTGCAGAAGTGGGCAGCTTTGCCTGCGCCCTCTGGTACCCAGTGGGCTCAGGCTGTTGGCTGCCCTCTCTGCTGAGTCGGCCTGCAGTGGGCACACCGCAGAGAACAAAGGTGGCTTTGTCAAGTGGCGGGTAATCTTCCTGGTGGTCCAGGGCTGTGTACTCCTGGTCCCATGGAGAGCCTGGGGCACCCCATCCTGAGCCGGCCAGCCCCCTGTGGCCCACTGTCATTCGGGCTGATGGATGTCGGCTCGTTATCTTGTCTGTCGTGGGGGAAGGTATTAGCCTGCAGTTAATAAAGGATTCTAATTAAAGAGGGAAGAACCATTTTGGCAAACTAGCCTTATTCTCGGCTCAAATGACCTGTCAAAGTTATAAGTTTCGGTAATTTCCACCCCCTGCTGTTCCAGGGAAAGTCAGCTCTGATTTGGGGATAGCACAGAGGGGTGCCCAGAGTCCCCACTTCCTTCTTCACCCACAAAAGACCCAGGCAGCCACCCAGTCCTGTGGTCCCCTCTTCTCCCAAGCCTGCAGACCCCTCCTCCTCCTCCCTGTCCCTCCTCCTCCCCACTGTCCTCGCCTCTGTGACCCCAGCCCAATCCTTTCGGTTCCCACAAGTGGGCCCAGGGGCTTGCAGACATGCTTGGTCCCATGCCGATCACTGGCAGTCCCATGCAGCTGTAAGGACTCATACAGAGGGGCTCCCCACCCCGTCCCCCCAGTGTAACATCACAGTCAGGATGCCAGCGTGTGTACAGCCCACTGCTGCCCTCAGAGTCCACCTGGGTGCAATCTGCACCCATGCAGTGTGTTCTGTGTGAGTGCACATGTGTTCATGTGTGTGCCATATTTGTGTATGGGCACAGCTGCATGTGTGTGAGTGTGCATGCATGCAGGCATGTCATGTATGCACACATTATGTGCACATCACATGCAAATATCACTCATGCATGTGTATGTCATCAAGGTGAGTGTGCACACATGCAGGTGCATTTCATGCAGGTGAGTGTGTATGCATGCATGTGTCTTGTATGAGTATTTACCCATGCATGTGCACGTCCTGCAGAGGAGTAAGTAAAGTAAGCACAAGGAAGCCTGTGCTTTCCCTGCTGATGGGATTTTCCAACACTTTGTAATCATATTGCAGTTCAGGACAGAGTTATGTGTTTATAGTTTTGTGAACAGTAATATTCATAACTTTAACTTTCAAATATGCTTGGCACATTTGCAGACACAATCTAACAGGGCAATAGCAGCATAATACCAACAGAGCAAACACCCCCACCCACCGCTGGACATAGTAAAGTTACTTAACATGCAAAGTTCTAATGTCTGTGTTGCGTGTGTTTCTTCCTTTACTGTCGCTTTTGTGGGACATGGTGCTTGATGTTACACTACGTGTACCGATAAATAAGAGATTAGGCACATCATGGTGACACAAAACTCAATATTTATTTACTGTACAAAATAGGCTTCTGCTTTGCAACAGTGAGTGTGTTACTAAATCTGTCTTCTAAGAAAGCAACAAAGGGCATTTATCAGAACACCACGTTTCTATTTCCTCAGAATATTTACATATCCCCATGTAAGGGGCTTGAACAATTCCTCGAGGAAATAAATTAAATGGATATTTAGATAATAAACATTACATAAATGTATCTTGTTCTCTATTTCCCTTCAGACTGTCTTTTTCAAGAACTTGATGGATATTGTTTACAAAGAAATTG